GTCCAATCCAATTTCAAACAGAAATCGAAACGTGAGTCCCGCTTCTGTGTCCTGGAATCCCGATCCCACGAACCGCCCCGAGGACATGACCTTCGCGCCAAAAACGAACGAAAGCAAACCCTTTGTTACCATTGTACCTGCAGAAACCTCCATCGTAATAATTCCGTATCGACTTTTCGCGACACATCGTGAACACCCTTCAGCAACATAAGACACATCCATATTTCTAAGGACAATCGTGATCTTTCGCAATGGGTGCTGGGCTGAAATGGAGCAATGAAGAGAACATCTGCGCCTCTAAAGCCTACGTCGCATCATCTGAAGACTCCAAGCGTGGCATAAGCCAGAAAATGACAAAGCTGGAAGCCCGTGTACTCAAGGAGTATGAAGGTCTCATTACTGAGATGGAGGCGAAAGGATGGAGTGGATCGGGAACGAGACGTACATCAGAGGCTGTAGTGCAGAGGTACAAAGCTATCAAAAAGAAGTGTTTATGTTTCGAGCAACATGTGCAGTTAATTTATTCTGTCAACCCGACGGGAAATCCAAGCGACAATGACATTATTCGTGCCGCAACCGCAATCGAGAATAAGATACTTGAGGTGGGAATGAAGGGACCAAGGGATATGTATCGGTTTTTTGGGGACGACCCGGCCAATCCCGGTAAATCGTTTAAGTTCTTGAATTGCTATTTGTGGTTGAGGAAAACGCCGTTTTGAGAGGAGACGCTCCACGCTATTGCTGCTGCAAAGGATGCCATGAAGGCATCTGAAATGAAGATACCTGACATCAAAGGTAGCGCAAATAGTCGAACTGTGTGCATTGATGTGGATGAAGAACAAGATGTCAAACTTGACGTCAATGTGAATGGATTTCAAGGGCCAGTATGTTTGGATGAGAAGAAGCCAATGAGTGGGATAACTAGTTCGGGTCGAAAGCAACGACCGGTCGGTGCAAAGAAAGTTATAGAAACTGCAAAGACTAACGTCGCTTTGAATAAGGGTGCGGACGGATTGGAGAAAATTGCACATGAAAGCAAAAAGCGAAATGACATCTCGGAGAGGTTGCTTGAAGTTGAAGAGAGAAACTACCGCATAAATCTGTTTCAAATGCGGGGGACAGATCCAAACCTCTTCAATCAATTTCGCTCACTTGAACAACAGAAAGTCCTCGCCGAGCTGGCCGGGGTGAAGGGGGTCAAGCCATCAATTCAAGGCCGTAATATGAACACGGTGACTGTTGACTTGCAAGTTGAGAGCGATTCACCAGGACAGGCGCCGTTTAAAAAACGATGTGTGCCCCACGCCGAAGGTGAACAGACCCATGCAACTCGAGCGGACAAAGTGCGGAGCGACGCTCGCGTGACAGCTGCGATAGGGAGGGCCCCAGATGTTCTCATTAGTGCCACATCGTCTGAATCCTGCGGCGGGCACGATGAAAACTCTTCAGGTAATACGTCTCATCAAAACCCTTCAAAGAAGATATCCGTGATGGAACTTATTGAGTGATAACATCTTGTCGGGTGTCTGCCTTGGCCACAATCCTGACTATCAAAATAAATATCATGGGTCCCGCACAAGCTCGCAATATCCTTTCCTTGTACCATCTATCAATTTGTATTTGGCCATTTGTATTGAAACGTAAGAGGCTGGGGTTCCGCGAGTGCAGCTTGGAGATGAGGTGTGGAAACAGCGATAGGTGGGCCGGGTCGTTCCGACGCGTCTTGGTCGTCGGAGGCGGCAGCCGCAGCCGTGATGTAGCCAGAAACGTCGGCCATAGCCTGAGAAATTCGGACTTGTGGCTGGCGCGTCGAGTGGGATGAAGGTATTAACGGGGAGCGTTCTGCGGAAGTCGCACGTGTGAGGGTAGAAAACAAAGAGCGGGTAGCTTCAACGCGCTGGTCCGCGGTGGTGCCAGGGGACGCAGTAGCATGGGATGGATAGCCGAAGCGGTACCTTCGAGCGATAGGTCGGCAGCGAAGACGAGGGAATCGCACATGAGCATGCCAGAGGAGAGGCAGAAGACCTAATTGTAGAGCAGGGAGGGGTCCGTGCGCTCGAATTGCCAGGGGGCAACGGTGTCCAGGCACAGACGGATGGAGCCGCCTATCGCGGAAAGGAGCTGGGTAAAGTTGCAGGTGGGCAAGGAATCGAAAAAGTCGAAGAAAAAGTGACTCGACAAGTTGGATAAGTCGCCGGAACGCATGCCAACTCGGCGCGACGAGAGGAGAAATAGGGCGTCCGGGACGGGCATGTGAGAGAAGTCATAAAGGGGCAGCGGCGTGAGCTGGTTTGGGTATGGGGGGCGCGTCAGAGTGCAGTGCAGCTCAATAGGCGGAGGGAGGGAAGAACGGAGGGGATGGTGGAAGGTGGTGATGGGAGGAGTGTCTGAGGAAGAGCGTAGAAAGAAAAGCAAAGGTTTAGAACATGTATTGTTCGTCAACTACCGTACACCATAAACGAATCAATTATCAAAGAAAAACTACGACCTTTTGTGTAAATGATCAATCAAGGCGTTCACCAACCGAGCTCGTTCAGCTCGGTTTTTTATGTCCGTGTTAACAATACCATAGTTGTTGCTCAGTCTCTCGGATATTTGCATTTGCGACTCGGGGTTGTGGCATACAGACCCTGCACTATCCGCCCTAGAAATTCCATCTCCTTCGCTTTCAAACAGCTCGTAGAGCCTCTCCCGAATTCCCCCGACCCCATCCCCAATATACCCATCCTTACGCTCCTCGACGACCATATTATGAATAATGACACAGGCCTGTAGAATAATCCCCATATCTTCACTAAACCATAAACGAGACGGCTCCGCTAATACGCGGAAACGCTTAAATAATACTCCGAAGACACGTTCTACACTCTTTCGTACGGCTTCTTGTAGCGCTGCAAACCTCTTCTCTTTCGGATGAGAAGGGTTCGCCACAGTGCTGACGAATATTTTCCACTTTGGATATATACCGTCTACTAAATAGTAACTCCAAGTGAACACCTCTCCATCAATAACATACTGTATATCAATTGGGGGATAGCTCCCATTTAGAATATTTGCGAAGTGTGGACTCACACTAAGAATATTAAGATCGTTCATCGAGCCCGGAAAGCCGAAACATAAATGCCAAATTCTTAGGTCCATGTCGCAGATCACTTCCATACGTAACGTAGGCTTCCCTTCTTTCTCCACATTTATGCCCTGCAAAGCTTTGGGGCACTGCTCCCAATCCCACCCCGCGCAATCCAAGCACCCAATGCAGCCAGGGAATCCTAGTTTTTCAAACGAGGAGGCAATCTCGTTAAGTTCTGTGGCGGTGGGCGCGCGCAAATAACGGGGACAAAATTGTTGTACGACCGACCAGCAAAATTGTTTCATCGATTGCAGTGTAGTTGTCTCCCCTAGTCTAACATATTCATCTAAACTATCTGCAGGAGAGCCATATGCTAAATACCGTAAGGATGCGACTACCTTCTGCAAGGGTGAAGCACCAGACATTCCCGTGCAATCTGGTTTTAGCTCACGGCGCAAGAACTGGTTATGAATGACAACGTGAGAAAAAATGCGATAAAATAGAGGGCGCGACATGCGAAAGCGCCGCTCAAACTGTTCCGAGTAGTACACAGGTCCCCTTTGCATAGACCCGTCGGGCCTCAAATCCGCGGCAGGCCAAAAGTAGTCTAGCATTAGACGCCGATGAGCGGCGCGGAAGTCACGCGCGACGTTAGGGCGACAGCCGGGACGAGAGCCGCCAGCTTGCTGTGCTGTGTCCTGAAGTTGTAACGCCGCTATAGTTTGCATTTGGTACCACAAGACAGCGGCAAGTTCAAGCTCGTCCGAAGCGTCATCGTGGAGCATGTGGCGTAATGTGCCCTTCGTGGGCATAGTCACTGCGAGTAGCAACCAATTGGTTGGTATTGGTGGTTGGTCTTGCGAAGATGGAGAGGGAGTGGGAGGTGAGTGTGGGACCTCACCGTAAAGTTGTAGTGCTGACCGGTGGGGTGCCCATATGAAAGGAGGCGGTCCATTCTAAATTTAGTTGGACTCTGAAATCCACTTGTAACGAGTAACGATTGCGTTGGTGCACTTGAAGCACCAACGCAATCGTTACACGTTTGGAGAATATGGATTGGACCCCTCCCACCGCTGTGGACGCTCTAAGTGCGATTTTCGCACATAACAGGCATTAGGGATATACAGGGGGGTACCCGATTTAGTGCCTCCATATATAACTACATGACTCGGTTTAATGCTACTCTAACGGCTCTACACCAAAACGTATGATAAACAAGTGCCACCAGGGCCCATCGAGCGATTCCCGAAGGACGCAATGGAATCTTTTTTAAAAAAATATGTCGGGTCTATCTATATCTCCAGGCCAAAAATGCAAATGTGAGCAATGTTAATGACCAAAGGGATGCCGCTGATATTGCCACATTAAATGAGAGTAATATTAATAATTGGGTTATGGTACAGTAGAGGATTCAAGTGAAGTCCGAGAGGCCATGGAGACAGAAGCTCTAGAAGATGTGGAGAGAACTATGGGGGAAATGAATGGGTCTAGGTGTGTTTCATCTGGGCGAACTGAAGCAGAGCATACAGATAAAGTGATGGAGGAGTTTTCTAATGCTAGTCAGTCTCGCTCTCTCCTTGATCGAAGCAGCGAATGATTTCTCAAAAATTAGAGGCGGCAGCGGTAGCTCTCTCGCAACCTGATACGTCTTCACATTTGCACAAGGCCAGACGCATCATATTTGAGGCTCTCAAGCCACGCAAGAAGCAGAAACAGACGACCTTGATGGGTTTGGGTAGTTAAATACAGTCTTCTTGTTACGGTACCGTTCTTGTGCCAAACCCGATTAGTGCCTATTTTATCACGCTACAGGGGGTAGCACTAAATAGGGTACCCCCCTGTACTGTACAACTGTATACACGTGTCCAACAACAATCCAGCAGGAGCTGCCGCTCATCGTGGCCGAGATTGAGCGGCCCTCTCGTTACCCTCAACTTCGTTGACCCTTGTTCACCTTCTCCCGCGTAGAGACACACCTACCGTAGCAACCTACGCATTCGCCATGGGAGCACATTCCTTCACTTAACCACAGCAAAATTGACTGCGACACCACCATCTCGCCCACACTGTGTGGAAGCTCCATCACTCGTGCACTGGTCGCCCGCCATGGCATTCGTCTTCAACCCCCTCTCCCTCTTTAGCCCCCGCCCCATCCTGCGCCACCCAAAATGTAGCCCCTGTCGTCGCCCACCCCTCATTCTCGCCAACGCCGCTCCCGACACCTACCCCATTGGCAACAATTTCCCCCCGTCCGACCAAACCCAGGACTCGCCCTCCGACCGTTTCCCTCCCCCGTCCTCTTCCGCCTCCCTCACCAGCGCCTCCATCACACGCTCGCAACAACTACCCATTGACGAGCAACACCAACAAGACTCTAATTATTGTGTCGGCGACTTTCTCTACTCCGCTAGCCTCGAGGAGCACCGCCAGCAGCTCCAGGCGGGCGTCATCGAGTCAGCCATGGACGACCCCAACGACGACTGGGCAGACGCCTGGGCCTTGTCAGTTAGTCCACGCAAGGCCCACGAGCTCAGGAATCAATATGCCCGCGTGGCTATTCTCATTGAGAGCAACTTTGCCGATTTTCTACCGGCAGATGGCTGCCAGGACGCTTTCAAGAATGCAACGTTGGACGAGATCGCTATGGCAAAGGCTCGAGCTGTTTATGAAGTCACTGGCCTACCGGCCATTGCGGAGACCAGTGACTTGGCCATCGACGCCCCAGAGTCTGGTAGTAGTATAAACAAGAGCATGCAACAAGGGTATTACACGCGTGACGTCGAGGAGCAGGCCGACGCCATGATCGATCGCGTGCGGCCCATTTCTGATGAGAATCGGGTGACTCGCTTTAAGAGTTCCGTGGCGTACTACGACGGCGAGATGGAGATCATGAAGAACGGGTCTGTCGACGTTGCCATCGTGTTTAGCCGTCAGAAATACGCGACTATTGCCACCACCGCTGCATTAGATGAGCTGTACAAAGAACTCACGAGGCGGTTGGGGCTCACATTTGACCACTTTGAAAGGGCCAACAACGCGGCTGAGGCCATCAATCAATCGGAAAAGAAGATTCTCGTCGGCGCGACGTTGTTGAAGGAACGTATTCTACGGGATGGTAAAATGCTCAAGGAAGGAATTCTGAAAGTGTCTTCCTTTCTAAACCACATGGTGGACACAGATCTCATGGAGGTCTGTGGGGAGGAGCTTGCCGAGCGGTTGCGCCACACCATGCCAAACAAGCTACTGACGGTCGAGTCGACGGGTCTTATCGTCGGGCTTCCGACGGCTCGCAAACTCGGCATTCCGCTCGTCTTCGCGCGAAAAAGCCGCCCGATCACAATCAGCGACTCGTATCAGACCACGTATCGATCGGCGACGAAGGGCACAACCAACGAGCTTATCGTGTCCTGCGAGTACTTGGAAAGTGGCGACCGGGTTCTTATCATTGATGATTTCTTGGCCGGCGGCTCCACTGCTGAGGCTCTCTTTAAGCTTGCGAAAATGGCTCACTCGCAAGTAGTTGGTGTGGGTGTGCTCATCGAGAAAATGTCAGATGGTGGTCGTACGTTCCTTTCAGGATACGATGTACCAGTGGAATCCCTTGCCAAAATTTTGCCCGGAGGAAGCGATGGTAGGATCAATTTTGTTGAGGAAGAGCCATGGACTAACCCTAATCTTCCGAAGGAGGACCAAAAAGAAGAATTTGACGAGGCTGAGGATTCGTCCACAGAGTTCTACCCTGACGTTGTGGCCGAGGCCAAGGACACAGAAATTTTGGATGTAGAGCTGAATGAGGCAGTCAATGAAGTGAAGATAGCACAAGAAGCTTTCGATGGCGGGGATGAAGACGATGGGGTCCACATGATTCGTTGGGAAGATGAAGAGGCGTTTGACGATCTGGAAGAAGATTTAATCCGAGATGTTCGCAAGACATGAGCTCAAAACCAAAGGCAGACACTGAACATTTGTTGTTCAGGCTAAGTGTTTTTGACAGGTTCAGCCACACAGTGGGTGGAGCACGGGGTTTCGTCTCAAGACACCACCAACCTGTTCACTACGACTCTACGGCTTCGCGGAGGTTGTGCCTTTGCTTTTTGCAGAAGTGCTGGTCTCATATCGTTGCAGTGCAATCGGAGGCTATTGCATACATTATTCATTTCTTGTTATCGCTGAAGGTGGGGACGTTGTTTTCGCCTTCTGAGGTATCAACCAAATCGATTTAAAACTGTTATCCCCGAAGATTGTCATGTACCAAGACACTTACATTGCAGCCTTTCTCAAGAAAGATTGCAAGGAAAAGTGTCTTGATGAGCTTCCCTCTGTGACTGGCGGAATATCTAACACCCTGCCGCGAATATGTTGTATCCAGATTCTGGAAGAGCTCTTGTACGCGGCTGCCAAACATTGCATCCTTTTGAGTTGGCATTGCAGCGACTGAATCCGCGTCTCTATCACTAATAATCTTTTTCGCAAGCAAATCATGCCTCGCTCTAACTTTAAGGCTTAGTTGCTGGCAATCACATCTTGTCTTGATCTTGTAATGCAACTGAGACATTGTGTCAACTACCGGAGAACCGTATGGAAATGCGCCATCGGGAATAGGAGAAGCTGGTTTTGAGTCCCTGTTTCCTGCTTTTAATCCAGGAACACCATATGTATTGTTATTGGTTGTTTCTATAAATACTGCAATATGAATGGAGGAAATGAAAGCATCTTGTGTACACTGGGACCATTAATGTCCTAGCCGGGAGTCCCCCTGGATAGCGAGAGTAAAACGCGCATCCACATCCCACGAACCAATGACGCACCCATCACTTCACTTGCCCCCCGTAACCGGGCTTATCGAAAAGGGCACGTGCTCCAGCGAGATTGTTGCAACTTTCGAAGTTACAGAACGCTCGTCGGAAACATGAGCGCCTTCATCCCATTGCGAACCAGTCCTTTATTCCGGTCACAAAAAATCTTGCGGCAGGCAAGCCGGCGAGCACCGCGTCGTCCGCTTGCGATGCAAACTGGCGGCGCAACAAGAAAACGGCCAGCTGCAGAAGCCGCTGCAGCACGTGATGCGCTACTTCACGCTAAAGGATATCGCCCCGGCGATAACGTGGTAATCTTCGACGGGGTATGTGCAATGTGCAACTCGGGGGTCGATTTCGTCATGAAGAATGACACATCACGTCAATTCAAATTCGCAGCCTTGCAGAGTGAAACTGGAAAGGCGTTGTCAGAAAAATTTGATTGTCCCACGGACCTGTCGACTATGGTATATGTTGAAGGTGACAAAGCGTACGTGAGGTCGGACGCTATGCTGAAAATTGGACGCCGGCTTGGATGGTTCATGGCTCTTCCTTCGGAACTTGCGTTGCTGCTTCTCCCGAAGCCGGTGAGGGACTATGTATACAGTGATATTATTGCGAAGAATCGGTACTCGGTGTTTGGAAAACGAGATGAATGTAGATTTGTGGAGCCCGGTGAGGAGCACAGGTTTCTCGATTAGTTGAAATACCATGACACGACCATACCCTGTAAACTTAGTGCGACCTTGGACAAGAACCCTATCTTACGTACCGCCCTTGGTGACACTCTCAAGCACGCACACTCTCACCAACACTCCATTTGCAATCGTCCATCAACCTCCATCTGTCGAACGTACGAATTACTTTCGATCTCGGATAGTCCGCCTGATCGTTGACAAATCTCAACCAAAGCTAGCCGTACACTTTTTGGCATAGCACCTGCAGCCCCTGCAACGTACACGTGCGCCTCTTTCTTAGCAACCAGAGTCCAAATATTTTCACATTCCTCTAGAAGTTTGTCCTGGACATATACTTTTGCGCCTGCTCTTTCCCTGGAAAACGCTGTCACAAGGGAAGAAAATTGACCCGAAGCCTGGTATTGCTCCCATTCTTTTTCGTAGAGGAAGTCGCCACGTCGCGATCTACATCCAAAGAATAGAGTATTTCCATTAACGTTGGGTTTACTTGAGCTGATAAATGAGCGCATCGGAGCGACGCCAGTGCCAGGACCAAGCATGATACTAGGTTTAGACTCCTTAAATCTTAGCGACGTCCCCTTCTCCAAAAATATTGGGACAACATCTCCGACACCCAAGTTCAGAAAAAAAGAAGAGCATACCCCCACACGCGCAAACTTCAGAGGCGTTGTGTAACGCACGATCGAAGCGCAAATATGAATTTGTCCCGCATGTGCTTGCTGCGACGATGCTATTGAGAAAGCCCGTGACTTCAACACCGGAATCATATCAACTAGATGATCAAGTGGAGGTCTCGCAGACGGAAAGTCTCGCAACACCATCAAGATAGTTCGTTTTTCGCGGTAGGCGTATTGCGTCAGAATATCAGCTCCATCTGCAGACGCGAACTCGATCAATTTCTCTTGTTGCATTGCGTCCGCTGCAAAAGGGGCCAATCTCTCGAAAAAACGGCGCCGCGGCATGCAACTGAGGTCGAGCTGGGCTGACACGAACTCTCTTAGTACGCACGGCTGCTGGACGTTTAGCGTGTAGGAGCCGAATCGCTTTTTAGTGTGCGACTGTTCTACTCGCACAACAGCATTTTCGTCAAACCCTGTCAGCTGGAAGAACGCGTCTACTGCTGACGCCCGATTTCTCGGCATGACATGCACAATATCTCCTGGAATATAATCTAGCAGGCCAGACTTTGCAGGTGCCTTAGAGACGTCCAGTTCGATGTGACGCACCTCTTTGTCATCCGATAGAAATGCGGCATCCGTAATAATATCGTTTTTAAGCACATGAGATTCATGTAGATCGCCAACTGCGATTGAGTCCGAGAGTTCTGCCTGCCCACTTTTCCAGATGTTTGTGGCAGCTGACCCACTTAGCGTTCCCTTTCCCTTATCTACTAGGTGCACGCAAATACGCGGTTCGATAACCTCCCCTCTTCTGTCTGTGTAATTGGTATTAGTATGAGATTTTGGCACGACAGCCTGACAAACGCTTGCAAACCATGGCATCAGCTCCTTGTCATAGCCACCCTGCGCACTGTCATCGCCAAGCGCAAGCGACGCAAAAGGCGCTGCCCCTAGGTCCTGCAATCTTAAGTGCAGTTTTCTCGCCGCTGCATTGAACTTGACGTACGCCCTATCTCCAAGCCCGAAGATGGCAAATCGCATCTCTGCTAGTATGCCGCCCGGAAGATCTGCGCGCCTAATAAAATGCCAGAATTTGCGCATACTAAGCGGCACCTCCCCATCGCCACATGTCGCGATTATGAAAATGAAACGGTGACCTTGCGATGAGTGGACGGGTAGGCTTGCAATGTTGTATTCATCAACGGTTGTGCAGCTCTTGATCAGAGTACCGCGGGCGGCGAGCGACTCGGAGAGACTTTGAGCGACGTCCTCAGCCGTGCCCGTCGCTGTCGCGTAGAGAACATGTACCGGACTAGCATCTGCGGTCATGGAGGAAACTGGGTGTCCAGGGCGACGCACTAAAGCTGAGCGTATCGTACGAAGGTGACGTGGTCGAAGCTTTGGGTGCTGTACGATTATCATAATTTTTTTTGTTTGTTTTTTTTGGTGGCCATGACTACTGTAGATTTTGTACCTCTTGACACAAAGAGCATTCCGATTGGGTTCAAGGACCTTCAGTGGGGATCGGTGCATTCTCATTCTCAAAGGCCTACGTATTGCACAGCGTCGCGGAGACACAGACTCTTGACTTGGACTCGTATTGTTCGGGACAAAGCGGGATTCTTTTTGCAGCCACAGTTTGCCTCGCGGTGGAAGACAACAGTTTGGCCTCGTTCCATTTCAGCCAGCTACCCTTCTTGCGCCTCTCCACGGTATCAAGATGACCTCTGTTCAGCTGCGAATCTACGATTTGTCACAGGGAATGGCACGATCGATGTCTCCGGCTTTACTCGGCAAGCAAATCGACGGCATCTGGCACACTGGCATCGTTGCCTACGGCCGCGAGTACTATTTTGGCGGGGGCATCTGTGCCGATGCACCCGGTGCCACGCCATACGGCACGCCACATGCCATTGAAGAAATGGGCACCACTCAAAAAAGCATGGTAGAGTTTCGTGCATTTCTCTCGTCCATCTCTCCGAGTTTCACCTTTGCGACCTACCATCTCCTCGACAACAACTGTAACAACTTTACGGATCAATGCTGCCGCTTCCTCGTCGGAAAGAGCATACCGCAGTATATTTTGGATTTGCCCGCAGAGGCCATGAACTCTGCACTCGGTCCTATGCTTCGCCCTGTCATTGAGCAAATGCAAGGTGCAATACAACAACAGAGTGTTGGACATGAGGTACAGCTCAACGGATCTTCAGCTGCCGGAGCATCAACCAGGCCACCCCTCCCTACTACGTCCAGAGCCGTCCCTACATCACCATCGCGGCAATACTGGGCAAGCCCAGTAACCCTTGCTCATGGGGATCGCAGCGTTATCACATCTAAGCTAAAGGAATTCGTCCCGACGTACAACGCATATGAGCAGACGCTTATCGAGTTAAGTCTCGCCGTGTCACCCCACAAGTCTTTCCCAGCCTTAGACTTGGTGCGTATCGACGTGGCAGAAAAGGAGACTGTAGCAGAAGAATTTGTGGGTCACCTCCAGCAATTGGCTAACCGCTTCATTCTGAATGTGGACATTCCTTTCCCGGCGTGCATGATGACATTGCGTGGAGCGGTCAATGTATTCAAGCACGCGTCCCCCACTGCAAAGCTGTGTCAAGAAGGGTCTATCGAAACTCTCGTTGAATGTGTTGTAGAGGCTCTGACTAGAGAAAACGCCAATGTTCGCAAAACCGCCGCAGTTCTAGCACTTAACCTAGCGGGTGCTCACCGCCGAAACGGCAAAGTTGCAAAACTGGGGGAAAACAATTCGACCCTTCTTATATATTCAATAGTTCAACGGCTGGCTTCCGAAGAGCCACCACAGCATAACGAAGCGAGACCACTATTATCGGCTTTGATTGTGCTTGTGGATGGAGACCCGGACGCATTGGTCCTTGTCAAAACGTTTGGGCTTGACTTGGAAGCGTATCAAAATTCAAAAACATGTCCTGATCAAACCACTAGAACAACCGCCTCCGAGCTGGCCAAGCTTCTTGCGGCAGGGTAGCAGTCTCGAAAGAAGCCAGTGCATCAGTGAGTCGACATTCCCGCGCCGCGCAGAGTCGGACATTTGTGCATGCAGTGCACACCGTCTTCATCTGCGACAGGGAATGTTAATTCGGGCTTGCTTGAACCTTGTACTTTATGTTCGTGTATATGACTTCGGATGACATCGCGACGGTAAGTCTCAGCGCACCGAAAATATTGTAGAAAGATGTAGCACGAAAGATTACAAATGTCAGTCATCTTTACTTGAAGCCAAAAGCTTTTGCCACATTTCTTTGTCTTCTTCCAGAAGAGTGGCGTTTGCCTGAAACCTGTTCGGAAAAATAACTTGAAACCAGTTGATCGAATGTCCGGTGTTATAAAGATTCCGCGGAATGCCCTTTTCATCAAAAACCGGGAGCTGATTCAACAACTCGTCCGCATGGGGTCCGCCCTTCTCCTTCTCCGCAAGCGCCTCTTCCTTCATTCCTTGCGCAAGGGTCATACCGCTTCTGCGCTGAAACTCACTCGCGGTACGGTACACGCCATCCCACTTGGCAGTTTCATTCGTGGTCTTGTTCCGAACAACGAGGGACAGATGGTAGACGAAAAACCCCGCCACCATACAAAAGGCCATGATGAGAACAAGCAGGATTGCGCAGACATTAGTCTCCGCAGCGAACGCCATCTTGAAGCTGAACTCTGTGATCTTCGTCTGCGTCGGGCGGTATATATAATCGCCGGCAATCAGATCAAGCATCCTCGCGCGTACGATTTCCACGCACAAAACAATGCCGTGCACAAGCATGAGGGCATGCACACCCAGAAAGAGCAGAAAGTAACGCAGATTATAAAAGCCGACGCAAGTGCCGACCCACCCGCAGTGGTGATCGAAGCGAACGACGCAGCGGTCGCACAAAGAACAGTGCTTCGAGCGGGGCAGCTTCGGCAGACGGCAGGTCGGGCAGCTCTGGCCGGGGACGAAGAGGGCGTTGTCATACGGGAAGAGGGAAGCCAAAGGCAGGAAGGTGCGCGGGGTGACGGTGCCCGGGTCGGTGAGGAAGACGGCCAGCCAGGAGGAGAAGGCCAGGACGGCGTAGACGTAGATGGCAGACGGGGGCGTGCGCAGCGGGAGCGAAAGAAGCGTGGGGGCGTGGCAGTAGAACCTGGACCTGGGGCAGGGGGACACGGCGTGGTCGATGACGTCGAGCTGGTGGAGCCTGTCCGTGAGGTTGAGCTTGGACACAGCGAGGCCGCCGACGAGAAGGAGGATGTACGTGGCGGGCATGACATACTTCTCGAAGACGCGTCCGGCCGTGGAGGATAGGTTGGTGGCGGAGGAGGGGGAGAGGCAGAGCGTGCAGAGATGGGCGTTAATGAAGGCGGGGAGGCGGTGCAGGAGGAGGTCGTGGAGACGCGCGATGGGGCCGGAAGCGTGGCACTGGTGGTTGCCGAAGATTAGGACGTAGGCTACGAAGAGCATGACGGAGAGGTAGACAGCCACGTAGGAGAGGAAGGTGGCGGGATCGAAGGTGGCCATTTTGGGACGGGGTGGGTCAGGGCGAGTGTACAAGTCAGACTTTGTGAGAGGGAAGGAGCGGATCGTGGGATGAAGAAGGCGAGGCGGTTGTGGGTTTGGGAATTGCTCCGCGCTTCAAGCACTGGCATGCAGATGCGGGGCGGAGCAGTCGAGTGGGCGATGGAGAGCAGACAGATGCGCGGGGGCGCAACGGAGCGAGCAGTGGGCCGTAGGGCAAGCACTTCCAAGTTGGAACCTAAGAGGTGATGCATGAAAATAGATCGGGGGAGAGAGGGTTGGAGAGAGGAGCAGATGTCTTTCTGTATTGCCGTACGTCTTACACGTGTCAAACGTGTGTTCATTCGCTCGGGAACACAAGGGAGTACAGGTAAGATAATATCTTATACTTGTACAGTAGTGCATATTATGCACTACTGTACAAGTATATATATATACGCTGTTGACAGCGTATATATACACTGACATCAGTGTAAGTCTGAACCTTGCCAACTCTGTAATATCTACAACAGCGATCAAAGCAACTGGTCAAGGCGAATCTTGACCGCACATAGAATACAGCACCTGAAACGATGCCACCTTGATGGTCGAAACGAGCTTCCTCTACAAGACAACAACGCAAGGGACAAAGGAAGCCGACGGCCATACGTCTGTCGTAAAATCGTCCTCACACTGGGAAAAAAAGATATTACAGTATTTACAATAGTATTCTGTGCGCGAACAAAACACAACCATTTCACGACAACCTCACCACCTCTTTTGTTATTGTTAGTTAAAGAACACGTAATCTTCATGGGCGATACACATAAGACTTCAAGAACACAGTCGATGCGCCAAACGCTACATGCATATCTGAAACTTTTCATGTTCAATCGGCACGGAAGCCGTCTCAAAACTCCATAGAGCCTCCGAACCGCGCGTTGCAAGGGCCCAAGAATACGGTTTCAAAAATTCTTCACACTTGTCCACTTCTTCATACTCAAATCGCGATTCCGGCAGCCCCTCAAACACGTCCGAAGGCAAGTGCCGTGCGTGCTTCTCGATGATCTGGAACACCCTCTCCACAGAAATTCCCGTCCCACCCGCGTCGGAGCTCCTCACGCCGGCCCCATGTCGCGGCGAGTGCGCGGTGTCATCAATGTACTTGCCGAAGAAGTCGACCATTCTGCGAAGCATGTGGATGAGGGCTTCCGACTTGACTGAGCACCTTGAAACCTCATCCATGTCTAACACCGCCTCGCGATGCAGCAACGTGTACACCAAATGCCGGTTCACGGATACCACACTCCTGGAGCGGAGCACACAGACGATAATCTCTAGCGCCATGCCGATGAACCGCGAAAGACGGTCAAGAAAGTCTGCCGACTTTTCAAAAGATGACACTTTTGCGCTCGCTGCATCGAAGAGATCCGGCGCGCCCACTGCGTCGGCACGCGACATCCCGTCAGACCGCGTCCTCGGGCTCTCCACGACTCGCGGCGGCGCCTTCGGCATCTCCTTGCTATGTCTGGACAGAAGGGCTGCCTTTCTCCTTCGCCGCGCGAGAAACTCGACCAGCGAAACGAGCCTCTCCGCCACGAGCGAATGCAGGTTCGTGACATCTGCGGACACGTTTGCCATGATCGCAAGGCAGGTGTTTGCCATGAAGCACTCTGGCATGCGGCGTCGGAGCACGAGGCTCTGTTGAATGACCCGCGCGCAAACGAGCAGCACGACCCCGCTCAACGTGATGGGCTCGCTCCCCAAGCGCGACCTGTCTTCGATGTAGGTGAGCCAGGCCATCGGGACTTTGATCACGTCGATGGCCTCGCAGAAGCCCTTGTCGCTCGTCAGCGTCAGCACGATGGACGCTGGGATGTACGCATCGGCGACGGTGCTCCCTAACACGCATCTTCTGCGCAGCGAAGCAAGCAGCGGAACGAGCAGGACGTCCGGATCCGTACGGGACAATGCAAACGTCCGAAAGCGCCGGTTCCTGGTCACCAGGTAGTAGCCGACCAAGGCGGCCCTGGGATATGCCATCCACTTGCCGAGGGCTTGGTACAGCTTTGAGAACGAATAGGTGCTCTCAAGGTCCGGGGCGGCCTTGGAAACGTCCTGCAACTCAAAAAGCGCCTTCCGGAACGGGTTACCCTCGCGCGGGCCACAAAGCACAGCCAGGAGCGCCCACACCTGCTCCGCCAAGACCGTCGGGCTTTCCGTCGGTAAGTTTGGATCATCCTGCGCACCCCCCTCGCCCTCCGGCCTTCCCGCAGTAGCACGATCCTCGGCCAGTCCTTTCCTCCCCTCTTGCTTACCGCCCCCACCACCGGGGTCCGCCGCCGGCACGGGGCTCGGCGATCCGTTGCCATTCGGCTTGGGCGTCTCCACCACGCCGTCGGCTCCCTCCCTCCCAGCTGGCAGCTGCTCCTGCCCAAAGTACGTGTACGGCTCGGCAAGCGGGTGCGGCACTCGGACGTCCGCTTCAGCTTCTCCACCCCCCTCCACGGCGGGGGCGCGTCGGAGCGGGAGGCGAGCCGACAGCGCTGCGAGCGCGTCGTTAACGCCAGCGTGCAGGGTGTTGGCGGACGCGGACGCGGACGCGGCCAGGGCTGCCAGGCCTACGCCCACGCGGGCGTTAGCCAACGCGGCCGACGCGGCCAGCGACAGTGCGGAGGGGGCGACGTTGGGCGCGCGCGCGGCCGGCGTGGGCACGCAGCCGTCCTCCAGCAACGCGGCCTCGCGCGGGGCGGCGGCGGCCACGGCGTCCAGCAGGGCACGCAGCAGGGCCGGGGCGCGCGCGAACGAGTCCAGCAGGGAGGCCAGGGGCGGCAGGGCGTGCGCGGCGGGGCGCACGTCGTCGGAGAGAAAGAGCAGCAACAGGGCGAGCGCGGCACGCGGGATGGCGCGGGAGGCAGCGTGCATCGGCAGAGGCAG